TTTGATGCTCGTTTCGAGAACTACAATCCTTTTGAGAAGGATACCAATGAACGTGTCCAGTCCACACTTTTTTCGCCGCCCTCGTCCTCTTCAAATTTTACAGCAGCCTCTAGTCCTTATTTCATGGATTTTAATCCAAATCCACTTCAATAGGGCTGCGCGGGAGTTTTGACAACATCATCAACTCCCACCCACCATAATTTCTCAAGGAGTCAACAATGGGATAATACAATGCCCCCACCTGAGATTGAGCGACCCCAACATAATGGTGCCCTTCGCTATGTTGATCATGAACTTCATTCAATCAACACTGGTATAAATTCTGTGTTTACATCAACGCACCCGACTACAAGCTCTCGTGATATCTGGCTGCGTGACGATGGTGCTTCTGTTCATATCACAAATGACATCAATGCGTTTCTCCGTTATCGGCCAGTAGCTGGATTGCCTTTCGCTAAAACTGGGGGGAGTCCTGTTCAGTCTGTCGGACTTGGCTACATTAAGCTTCGCGTTCTTCGGCAAGACGACTCAGTCAACTAGATTGTCCTTGAAAACGCTCTCTACATTCCTGGCTTTCCACTTAATATTTATTCTGGGTGGCTTCATGATGTTCGGGATGGGTGGGATAAGCATCGGGTTTTGTATGAAGCGGACGGCTCTGAAATGTGTCAACTTCTTCGTGGTGAGAATTGCTTACACTTGCGAACTGCATCATCGCCGTATGTTCTCAAAACAAATGATCCTTCCATGTGACCCTCCATCTTCCTTCTCTCTCCAGTAGCCGAAAACGTCTTTCCTGCAGCAATTCATGAAGCTCCTGTCACTCTAGAACTTCTTCACCGCCGTCTAGGACACAATAGCTTTCCAAATGTCCAGAGAACGATTAATACAACCCTTGGTCTATCTTACAAACCTCGTAATACGGATTCTAATCTCGATGTAACCACATTGTGCGATCCTTGCGAATTTTCCAAGCCGAAGAAGGTTGTACGCCGTCACTCGCGTAATCGAGAGTCGAATTAGGGTGACAGCTTTTATGCAGATGTCTTCTTTTGCAATCCTGTAGGCTTCAATGGCCATACAGCTGGTATGATTTTCACTGACGGAAAGAGAGGAGGGCGTTATGGTTACACTTTCACTGAAAAGAGAAATGCTTTCGACGTTTTGGTCACTTTTACTCGCTTCTTCCGAACCCAAAATGGTTTCCTGCCGAAATGTTTCCGTTTAGACGGCGGTAATGAATTTGGGGGTGACAATATGGTCGCCTGGTGTCAGCAGTATGGCATTGCAATGGAACTAACGACAGCATATTTTCACGAACAAGGTGGCCCTCAAGAACGATCAAATCGAACTGTTCTAGATCCAATGCGTTGTGTTATGTCAGGTATGCGTATCCCATTCTTTCTTTGGCCAGAAATTTTCCGCGCCGTTATTTACATTCTCAATCGTATCACGACCTCTGTCTACGACAAGATGACCCCCTACGAAGCACAATCTCGGGCTACAACATCCGATGCCTCTGAAAATAAACCTGATAACTCAGTAATCAGAGTATTGGGCTCTCGAGTACTTGTATACATCCCAAATGAGCGTCGAGTCAAGTCTCAGAAAATGGATGCACGCGCTGAAGAAGGCATCTTAGTTGGTTTTGAAGGTAACCATATTTATCGTTGTTGTATTTCCTCAAGACCTCTGGGCTATCAGCTTGTACGCTCGTCTCATGTTCGTTTCTTTGAGGGACGTTTCAATGAATTCTCAGCCGAAGACCATCCTAATGAAATTCCTGACCCCTCTCCTAAGTATGTCGATGAGGTTGAATTTCCAATTCAAAATTCTCCACGAATGGGGGGGGGCCTCAGACAATACTGAGAGTGGCTCAATAGGGAGTGCACATTTGGATGATGAAATACCTCCGCTCCTCGACGCAAGACACGACATGCCAGCTGAAGGAGATCCTTTACTTGTTCCTCTCCCACAAATGCCCAAACGTGGTCGTGGTCGACCTCCTGGTGCTAAGAATAAGCCCAAGGCAACATCTGGACCTAACTCATTTGATCTCTGTAAGCCTGACTCAGATATCCGTGTTACACGCAGTAAAACAAAGGGCTCTACTTCGTTGCATACTCCACACATTGAGAATCCTGTTCTGCTTTTGGAATATCAAGCGTATCTAACGGCTCTTATAACTGACAGCGATCCGAAAACGTTTCGTGAAGCTTTGCTAGGTCCCATTGCTGTTCTTTGGGAAGCATCTATGAAGTAAGAATTGACTGCTCTTGACATGAACGACACTTCGCAGCTTTTATCTCGCTCTGATCTCCCTCCTGGACGTGACATTATTCCAGGACGATGGGTCTACAGGCGAAAGACCGGAAAAGATGGCCAGCTTACCCGTTACAAATCCCGTTATGTTGCAAAAGGCTTTCATCAAAGGGAAGGCTTAGACTACAAAGACACATTTGCCAGTACAGCTCTCTCTAGCATTTGGAAAGCTTTGCTCGCTCTCGCCGCTTTCAATGACTGGCAAGTCGATCAGATGGATGTTGTAACCGCTTTTCTCAACCCTGACATTGACACTGACATATACATGGCATGTCCAGACGGGCTGCGTACTCCAGATGGCTCCTCACTTAACCGCTGGATGTGGAAACTCAAAAAGTCGCTCTATGGTCTCAAGCAGTCTCCACACCTTTGGCAATCAAAACTTCGTTCAGAAGTTGCCATATTTTGTTATAAGCCTTTACTTCTTGATTCCTCTGTTTATCACAGCATCTCTGATGAAACTTACCTTGTTACTCATATAGATGATTTCCTACTTATCGGTCCCGAGGCTGGCGTTTCGAAGTTGCGCAGACATCTGCATAATGCTTTCAAGATGGTGGATATGGGCGCCGCGGAGTTCTATGTCGGCGTCCGTATTGTTCGCGATCGCGTAAAACGAATCCTCTATCTTCATCAGGATGCCTATCTTGAGAAGATTCTTGAAAAGTACAGTCTCAATAAATGTATTCCAACAAATACACCAATGCTACCCGGCCAACATCTTGTGACTTTTCAAGGGACTGCCTCTTCAGCGGAAATTGAGCTCTACGCATCGATGGTTGGCTCTGCGATGTATGCTGCTACTCAAACGAGACCAGACATTGCTTATACCATGACGCAGCTCTGTCGATTTCTTTCCAACCTATCTCCAATTCATATATCAGCAGTTCGTCATCTCTACCGCTACCTCATCAAAACTACCCGTCTCGGTCTTTGGTATGGTGTAGGCTCTAATACAGGTCTTCACGGTTTTACTGACTCCGATTATGCTCAAGACCCTGAAACACGGCGTTCTCATGGAGGTTGGGCTTTCTTTCTGAAAGGTGCCTGCTTTTCTTGGCGCTCATATCAAATGAAAAGAGTCACTTGTTCTTCAATTATGGCCGAAGTCTATGCTATGGCCGAAGCAGCCAAGGAGGCTGTGTTCCTTCGCAATCTATTTCGCAGTATCAACTATAACTCAGATGATGCAAAGATAGTCCGTATCTACTATGACAATCAGCCAGGTTACAACCAAATAAGAGGACAGGGCGTCACTCAAAAGAGCAAACACTACGATGTACCTGTGTTCCTACTCCGGGAATATATAAGTGACAAAATTGTTGAATTGGAGTGGAAATCTGGACTAGAAAACGCTGCAGATGGGTTCACAAAGGCCTTGTCGCCAGTTCTTTTTAAAGGGTTTGTTGGACAACTTAACATGACTACTTTGGCTACGGATAATAAATTATGTGTGGCTTCATAGGTGAGGGGGTGTGTAAAAGGGTAGAATTTCACCTATTCATGGAAACTAAGCTAGTCACGTCACATGACCTTCCTAGCAGTACATAGATTTCATCTGTAGCAGTGGACCTCATTAGTCAACATTTACAATCCATAAACCGTGTCCCACGTTCTATTTAAGAATATTTATCTATTCAATATAAAAATTGGCAAGATTCACAGGCTAAACATAATTTTCTTGTTCAAGTGGCTATTAACTTACTGCAAGTTTCCGCAGTTCAATTAAAGTGACGGAAATCAACTCGGCAATCTACAGTACCGGGGGCGAAGCTTTATGGTCTAGAATTCGGAATGTAGCTGGTAGCTTTTAAAAAGCTTTTTGCAGACAAATAATTTGCGATTAGCCATCTGTAAATAACCAGAGAAGCATTTGAGTGATGAAGGGCAATGGGCTTCTATAAGTGTATGATCGAATGAGGACTTGTAAAGATACTGTTTGAGGGGAGCTGTGTAGGAGGCATATGAGGGGGTATACTACTAGCACAGGCATTCTTGCACCGTAGGCAGAGAGTATCTAAATGTCATATACAGTCTAAGACTATAAAGGATGATAATGTGAATAAAACAAAAGAGAACCAGACTAATGAATTTTGAGCTAGTGTCGTCAGACAAGACTATAGTTTGTTGCTTAGTAAGCGATTCCGAATAAGTTCCATCATTGGCTGTGTATACGGGATCTGCCATCAGTTCTCAACATAGCAGTTGCGCCTTGTCAATGAAGCATAGAAAAGTCTGAACAGGGTCATCAACCAAGGAATTAAAGCTTGGGAATTCGAGTCGCAGTTGACTTTGAGACTAGATAGACCATAGGATAAGCTCTCAGGTGCCACATATCAAATATTTGATATTAACGGTTTCCCTTACCCCTATCGCGTAAGTAGACCCCTTTGTGTTGGGAGCCGCATGACAGGTCACGTTAGTTCGTGTTGTAAAAAAATTGTTGTCGGCGAGTACTGAGTCTCAAACTGCCTCCACCGCCTCGAATGACGTCCATTATTGTTAATCTTGCCGATTGATATGGGCAATTGATATATCGCTTCCATACATATGCTCTGTGTCTTGCTACATCGAGACAAAATTTTAAAACCTCTCAGTTACACCACTCTTTTCACAACGTGAACATTACTGCCGCGCGTCATTGAGTACTGATCAATAGTGGCTTCTAAATTCGCAGCATGGCCGTGGAAGAGGCTACGTTTACTTCCGGCTACGGCATTCAGACCCAAGCTATAAGGCGCCGTGGCCTACTTTCAGCTACAGAGCCAGACGAGAAAGACAATATTGAGGAGGAGAGGATAAAGTTAGGCAAAAGTGTAAGTTGATCTAATTTCAGCTACAAAACCCTTTGTAAGGTTAACAAAAGAATAACACTAATAAATATAACTCTACTTCAGAAATCGGTATGGCATCACCTCGATGAATGGGAAATAGTGATTGCGCCCACCGTATTTACAGCTCTTGCGTTTTTTACACGACTCTATAAAATTGGCCTATCACCTATTGTGACATGGGACGAGGCACAGTACAGATATCCATCCCTGACTCTATTACCATTATCAGCTGAATAATTTGAATAGCTTTGGAAAGTTTGGGTCCTATTACCTGAAGCGAGAATTCTACTTTGATGTACATCCACCACTAGGAAAGATGCTAGTCGGTCTATCCGGATATCTAGCTGGATACAACGGATCATTTGAGTTCAAGTCGGGGGAGAAATATCCAGAAGAGCTAAACTATACCTTTATGCGAGCATTCAATGCCTTATTTGGTGCCATATGTATTCCTCTGGCTTACTTTACAGCTCGCCAGCTAAATCTAAAGCGCCCAGCAGTGTGGCTTACAACACTGATGGTCCTTTGTGATAATTCCTACACCACAATCGCAAGGTTTATCCTATTAGACTCTATGCTACTCTGCTTTACTCTCACAACAATTCTTTGCTGGGCAAGATTTCATAATCTTCGGCACCATAGTTTCAGCTTAGAGTGGTTCACATGGCTCTTCCTAACTGGCCTCAGTATTGGATGTGTGTGTAGTATCAAGTGGATCGGACTATTCTGCACTGCTCTTGTCGGGATTTACACCATAGAAGACCTCTGGAACAAATTTGGTGATATAGATATGCCAAAGGCAAGTTTTATCGCAGATATTGAAAGCGTGGACTAATAGTTTGTCAGTCTACATTAGCAGCTCATCTTGCTGCAAGAATATATGCTCTAATTGTTATACCGTTACTTGTTTATATGCTGTCATTTGCCCTTCATTTTAATATACTTGAGAATAGTGGCCCAGGAGATGCCCAAATGAGCTCATTATTTCAAGCCAACCTTCGGGGTACTTCAGTCGGCAAAGAAAGTCCAATAGACATAGCCTATGGGTCTAGAGTTACAATTAAGAATATGGGATACGGTGGGGGACTTCTACATTCTCATGTTCAGACTTATCCCGAAGGATCAAACCAGCAGCAAATTACGTGTTACCATCACAAAGATTCCAATAATGAATGGCTGTTCTATCCGAATCGTAACGAGCCTGAAGTGGATCCCAACTCACCACTCAAGTATGTTGCTGATGGTGACATGCTACGCCTGATTCATTTCCAGACGGGGCGTAATCTACATTCCCACGAAATTCATGCGCCAGTCACCAAAGAACATCGTGAAGTCTCTTGTTATGGTAACACAACCGTGGGTGACGATAAAGATCACTGGAATCTTGAGGTTGTAAAAGACGTATCATTCAGCGACCGTTCCAGAGTTAGGACGTTAACTACGGCTTTCAGACTCAAACACACTATCCTGGGCTGCTATCTGCGCGCTGGAACCGTCAGCCTACCGCAATGGGGGTTTAAACAAATCGAGGTGACTTGTGATAAGGCCAACAAGCCGAGGGACATTTATACACATTGGAATATCGAGGCTCACTGGAATGATAAACGTAAGGTAGAAACCTTTACGTGAGAGCTTACTAACTGGCATAGTTCCTCCTGCCAACGCCAAGGCCTACAAATCTCCATTCTTCCAAGACTTTATTCACCTGAATGTAGCTATGATGACTTCAAACAATGCTCTAGTGCCAGACCCCGACAAGCAGGATGATCTTTCATCTCAATTCTGGCAATGGCCAATAATGAGTATTGGTCTACGTATGTGTAGCTGGGACGACTCGATAGTAAAGTATTTTCTCCTTGGAAATCCATTTGTGTACTGGGCATCGAGCGCTTCACTCATTTCTGTCGGTCTAATACTTGCATGGTACCTAGTCCGGTGGCAGCGCGGTTACTGTGAGCTAGACCAAGATGAAATAGACCAATTGCATTACGCAGCAATTTATCCAGCTCTTGGATGGCTCTTACACTATTTACCGTTTATTGCAATGGCACGAGTCACCTATGTTCATCATTATTATCCTGCTTTATACTTTGCGATCTTGAACCTTGGCTTCTTATCTGACTGGGCATTAAGAAGGACGCGTAAAAAAATACAATACACGGCATTTGCAATCTTATACACAATAACTATTGGGCTCTACATCTACTTCATGCCAATCTCTTGGGGAATGATCGGTCCCAGCAAAAACTACAGATATTTGAAGTGGATTGAGACATGGAGAGTAGCTGATTAGTAGTTTTAATTACACAATTGAGTGCTAAATAAGATCATAGAACAGTATTCATTGAATTGTACGGCTTATAGAAGTGGTCAATAAAAGTAAAACCGTATCTCGCAACTCCAATCGACACAAACATTTGGCTGGAAATAAGATTGCAACTAGTATGACCCTAGTCACCACGAAGGTTAATTTAAAATAAGTTATAATGTATTATTTGATATCCAAGCGAAATTGTAAGCCCCATTGTTTGTTTATCGGAGGCCGTAGGCTGTTCAAATGCGACAGTACACTAGCTGATCTATGAACATAACAACTACTTCGGTAAAGTAAACCATAATCTAATTCAGCGGTCAGATTATATGTGTACAATATCATCCGCAAATCAAATACCCTTGATTCGTCAGTTTGGCCCCGATGAATAATGACATGATATTGACTCTGTTGTGTTAGGGTTTCTTTCATATCTTGACGTTGGCGAGACTTTGAGCTAGTTCATCTATATCAGTTGCTCCAGAAGTCACACTGGGGCCCTCCAGAGCTTTATTAGCTGCTAGTGAGACACGTTTCCGCATCTCATCTTCTGCTTCAACTTCGTCCTCTTCTTCATCAGAGCTGTCATCATCCTCCAGGTCACTCAAACTATCTAGACCCCATTCTTCATCAATGACTGTTAACTCATTAGTTTCTTCCTTCCGCGTGAGCAGTAATGACCGAAGTACTTCGATACTTTCGTCATCCTCCGAGAATTTGTTGCCGTTTAACTCAAGCTTCCTCAAAGCCGGCAAAGAATCCTTCGTCGCTAAGGCAAGTGCCTGAAGGCCCTTGGCCCCGATATCATTATATTGTAACCTAAGTGTCTGTAGCTTCTTATTCATCCCCTTTCCAAGTGCCTCAGCTACGACAACTCCACCTCTCCCGCCAAGAAGCGAGTCTCCAATGCCGAGTTCTTGTATTTCTGTCCAGCCCGGGGATACAATTGCTAGAGCATTTGCGCCCTTGATTGTGAAGGTATTATCTTGCAGATCTAGTATTTCGATTTGCTTCGAGTGCTTGAGACCATCTCTTAGAAGTAAACTGATACCGTCTGGTCTAATCCCGTTTTGTACCATTTTGATGTTCTTCAGGCCCGTATGTAGACTGTAAGCCTTCGCCCATGCCTTCATACTACCAGTCTCGAGTCGATTTCGTCCGCATATTACAGTCTCCAAATGAGGAATATCCAAACCAGCTTTCCGAGCCTCTTCTTTCTTAGCATGAAGAGTGGACAGAGCCTCTGCAATCATGATTCCGGCCTCTGGTCCGAGACCATTGTTATTTAGTATTAGGTGCTTGAGCGGCACATGAGATGAAATAAACTCGACAAGGGGAGCCTGTGTATTAAGCCCGAATGCGTTATCGTTTAAATTAATTGTGTGCAGGTTTGGGAGGTTTCCTAATGCTCGGAGTAAAGATGAGAGTGCGAGGGGGATTTCGTTGAGAAGTCTGCCGGTAAAAATGTCCGCAAGATTTGCAACCTGGTTGTATCAATTTTGCGATCTTTTTTCGCGACCGACTGGGGAGCTAGATCTTGGCATCACTTACTTGAAGTGATTTTTTCGTCGCTATAACCTCGCCTATGGCTTGACAGGCTTCGACGCCTAGGGTATTTCCTAGCAGCCTAATTTCCTCAACATCCTGCATAAAGCGCAAAGGCTTTATATGCTCTTCCACATCGGCCAAAGAGTCGAGCTTCAAGCCTCGACCTTCGAGCGTGAATATCTTTGGGTGGCAGTTGGAGGATGCTGTCATACTGACGAAATTTAGATCGAAGTAACACGATATCACCGATGGGGTGTGAGGCATCAGACGGACATAAATGTCCTAGCGGGGCAGTAGGATCCAGCCGGATATATATTCAACCGATAATTCCGTCTCTCTATCCCTGTACACTTCTTTTTCTTAAGGAATGATAAGAGATACCCTTTATTCACTTGCGACCCCCAATCCGTGGAATCTTCAACCAACATTTCGATGGCATCAAGTGTAGTAACTATGTGTACGGCTGTCCCCCGATCTATTTTGTGGATACTAACCTAACTCGAGCTGCTGCACCTAATGCAGAGATCAACATTTCATCTGCTGCGTCGAACGCGACGAAAACTCCCGATGTCAAGGTATGCCTCGCGGCCCTCATCGCCGCTTAAAGGACCAAGCTAAGTGTTTCATAGCCATGCTGTGTGTGCAAAGAGGAGAAGACGGCGCGCGACAACTGCATGCTCTTCAGCCGCGCTGCGAATCCAGAAGCTGACTGCGTGACGATGATCGATAAGTACAAGAGCTGTATGGCAGGCTACGGTTTTCGCCTGCCATGATTACTAGTACCAGTGCTCGGGGGCTCCATTAATACCTTTCGGATCTAATCATGTAAATAAACAAGCGGTGTGTCGTGTAATCTTCAGGGCGCCACGGAACCTGTACATATGTGTAAAACAAGGAACAACTTCTCTCAAAATGTAAAGAATCAGCGAAAGCTCATGTCTTTGATACTCTCTGATGACTTGAAATTGGTGCTCGTCCTCTGGTGTTCATATGGACGTGACAACTTATTGTTATGTTTAATTCGTGAGTCTGACCTGCAAAGTCTATGGAAAATAGTCTGGGTCTACTCCGCTATATTTTGGAAGACCAGGCCAGACTCAGTAGAATTATGCTAGAGCCGATTCTTCCTCTTACGCCTGAGAGGTGCATCCCTTTATGGATGGGGACTCTTTTGACTCACTACGAAAACATAATATGACAATATCAACATGAGCTGTAATGAGATAAGACAACTCCTATAAGTACATAGGTCATCTGTAATGTCCAGATGATTTTATGCATAGACTGAGCATTTTGAAGATATGATGTATGCGGCACTAACTTGCCCAGATCAAGGCGGGTCTAACAAATTGACATGGCCAATCTCCAATCAAAAGGTCCAAAGATAATAGCACGTTAGAAAGGTCAGAAAAGGGAAAGAATGTGAAGATTCCCCATATCGATAAAGTACCATCACTTGTATCTGGGAGCGAGCTTTAAATATCATAAAAGTTCAAAAATATTAAAAATAACTACTATAGAATCTCGCAAAAAACATCAGTTTTCACGAAAAGCAGCACCACGTTCTATGAATGTTATTTCATAGTTTTGATAATTTTTATTATCTTAACAGTCCATTATTACCAACCTCCTCAAATTTTTCACGTTGCGCTTCGGCATGGCGACTTGGGAAGCCAATAGGATGGATTTCGCGGCTTCAAATTTTTCCACGGCACCATCACAACCAACAGTGGGTAGCGGAACAGCCGCAATTACGGCCGTAGGAGGGCAAGACTGGATACCTGTACGCGGTGTCTTTTACGAACCTGGGAGTGAAATATTCTCCCAGAGCCAAGTCGAGTCAAATTTCGCAATATCAAAGAAGTTGGCCCATGGGGCAATGATTCAAAATGCTCTACCACGTCGTTTTTTCGCTCCAAACGATTTTGACTCATACCTAAGTCTTATCAAATCTACAAGTACGACCTAGTACATCCTCATCCCTATGACCACACCACTCCTCGACCTTCTCTGGCCTCAGTTGACCACCAAATAGACGCCCACGCTGATATTTACACCCGACGGAGGAAGCAAAGCGTGGTGCCCAAATCTTGGAGACAGTTCTTTGGCATGGACGTGAGAGGGATCAGGAAGAGTTCACAAGATGATACAAAGGAAAGATATTAGCTCGAAGGGCGTGAAATTCCGAACTTTGGCAAGGAGTTTTTAGAAATTGAGCTTTGTGCGCGCCAAGACTTCGCTTGCAAGAGTGTAGCTGACACTATAAACACATGCCGACGATGGAAGGCGCCGTGGTCAAACTCCTGGTGGTGTTCTCCGATGTAGTCTGAGTAGCCTGGGCACCTACTCCACTTAGGAAGGAAACATCTCAGATCATATTTCGCGCGGAGAAAAGTTGAAAGACGATGGAGGCATGTCTGGATAGCTCAGGGTTTTTGAGACGTTCCCCTGGGTGGGTATTCACGGATGAGGGTTGACTTGGGGTGAAGAAAAAGCCGCCATAACTTCGCAGTGGTACTTGCAAATGAAATCTGAGGCATGAGTGCTCTTTACGTTGAATTATCTATTCTGTACTTTTCTTTGATACTGTGTCATAGCTAGATAGCTGCATACGCAGTTAAAATATGATGCAAAAAAAACAAAAACACTGCCGTAGAATCTCTCGCGATCTCTACAGGCGTTAACATGGATAGCTTGAAATTAATAGGGTTTTTTCCTAGACAAAGCTCGCGTGAGACTGGTGATAACAGGTACTAGCCCAACTGCGGCACCAATGGCGGACATAGAAGGAGCCATTGACGTCTTCAAGTCGTAAGCATTGTCATTAAAATCGACAATAAAAGCGACACCAATGGAAGAAAAGATGCTGGCCCTAGAAAAGGCAATTAAGAAGAGCCTCCAGGAACCAGTGCGCAAGATGGCTCCTCAGTCGACGCAAAGAATGGGAGGTCGACCCACTCACGCCTCAGTCGTCGCACCTCCAGCGACTAAAGCGGCAGTAAGAATACGATTACAAGGGACAGACAAAATGCAGCCATCAGAGCTGCGAAATAAGGCAAAAATGCATATCGAGGGGGCATACGCCGTAAGGCAGTTAAGCAGTAACGAGACTGAGGTGTTCCTGCAATCGATCTCACAGCGAGGCGCTGCCTTGAATACAGCGCAGCCAAAGGAGTTCTGTGTCGTAAAGCAGGATTATCCTGTTGAGATTTTGGGAGTCCCTTTGGGGACAACGTTACAAGGGGGAAAAACGTCGACAATGACAGCATGATTTACCAAATCAATACAGAAACAAAAGTTCAGATTCCCGGAATCCAAATTAACAGACTAAGGTGGCTGTACGAAGGGAAGCAGCACCTATGGATGAACAAGAATGGCCATACTCGAGGGTCGGTGATCGCAAGCCTGCCGACAGGGGCTCTTCAACGCGAGGTGATTCGAAACGGTATTGTACTCAAATCAATGCTATACACGGCCCAGCTCTGGTCACCCTGGGAATAAGTGAAGCAGTGCTTCAACTGCAGCGAATGGGGGCATACTCAAGCCTCGTGCAATAAGGCGAAAAGATGTGGTGAGTGTGCGGGCACCCACCAGACCAGAGACTGCTCGAGGAAGTCGGTGCTTTGCTGCAACTGCGGCAAAGCTCATAAATCGTGGCAGAAGGGGGCGTGTCCAGACTTCGCGCCATACAAGGCAAGTGTCTAGAGGGCACGGTATGGGCTTTTGGAGAGAATGGCAGACCTAAGAAGAGAGGATAACTTGCCAGCGATAACGACAGTCATAACAGAGGTAAAACTAACGGACGATCAAGAGTTTAAACTGGTGTCCAATTTGAGGGCCGGGACGCCCACGAAAACATCCCTTTACCATAGGCCCACCACCACAAATAATTGCGCCGTCGTGGTCAAACTCGAGACCACAGCCATTAATTTTCGGCACGCGAGGGCATGCAGAGGATGGCGAGGTCACCTACAACTTTAGCTAGTCCTGTCTAGAACCAATGGTGCATTGCACTTACTGTAGGTAACGAAGAACTACAGAGATATAAAAAATTTAAAAGGGGGAGGGGGTTTTATTGTAATGGTTTCCCCCTCATGTAAATAGATAGATAGGTTCATAGTCGCCTGTATGGGCCCATAGAACGCCAAATAGGGTTAAATGATATCAAATTCAAAAAAATACCATAGAATCTTTACCAAAATCATCAATTTGTCACTACTTTTCTGTACTGGAGCTCGTCTTCTTTGGTGCGTTGCGGTAAAGTTGGAAGTCAGATGTGAAAGGACAGAACATAAGCTTCTAGCTGACGTGTGCCCAAAACAGAATATATATTCTATCTGAAGAGAAAGATACCTGGGAAGGATGTTCATGAATATAGAACTACGCGTTGCGTAAGGCGAACCTTTACATAAGCAATAACAACGCTTGACCACAAATGTGTTAGCGAGAGGACGAAGGCTGAACACCTGTCAGTGGTGTCCTCTACGAACCTGGGAGTGAAATATTCTCCCAGAGCCGAGATTCAGTCACGAAAAAGGATGGGATGAATTTTTTTGATGGATGTTCGACTTGAAGGAGTTGCACTCGATATTTCGGTTGATAAAACAGTCGGCAGAGATTTCACAGCCGGAACAAAGTTGACCAAAAACTCATCACCACTAACATACGATTCATGAATGGATTTAGGTCTATCTGGGAGTCGTATTCAAACATCCAACATCTCTCAAACTCCTTTTATATTTGCGACGAAGCATTTCTCAGTCGATTCTATACCTGCGACCCACCTCTATACCCGTCCGATCACCTACCTACACACGCCCTAGTGAGGAAATTCATGATGGAAACGGGACGTGTACAAAGGAGGAAGAAGAGGGAAGATACACTGAGGGGATCGCACAAATCCCCGATGACGAAAACAACCCAACGGTACGATATGAAGGTGCAAGGCTAGAGCAACGATGAGATCTTGGACGGCATTTATATTTCAGAGTCAATGAGGATATCAAGGGCTCGGGCGCGTGGTGGCCGAGGCTGAGGAGGAAATTGCACTACGGCGTGTATACAGCGGGTTTGTAGACGGTTAGGCTTGGTATGATACAACTCATAGGTGAAGTCTGAGGTGGTCCGGTCATTAAAGTGGGACGAGGTTTATCTGCACTTCGCGGTAGTTAACCTGATCCGACCCAGCCCCACTCGTGCTTAAGCTCTAGTAGGAGTGCAACGGCAGTCACTTAACCGAGCACGTTAATGAACAAAAAAAATGGTGCTAGCGCTTGGCAAGGGTCCGGATAAACTCCGGTTCCAGGCTAACATGGCTACAACCTATAACATCAGACTTGTCGACACCTGCGCTGCCTACACTACACAGAGCTCTCATAAGCCTACCATCCATGAGCCTCACGGAAACAACTAATGTTGGCTATGTCTTCCTCGCGAAGCTAGCGACTTGACCTGTGTGAACTGCGGAAGCAAATAAGCAGAGAAATCTAAAGCCAACCAAAGCACTTGAATGAGCTCGGAACCGGGCTCTAGATTTAAGCATGAGAACGCCCCGGTGAAAGGCTCTGTCTTTGACAGAACACTTGGCAATTTATTGATTTGATTTGATTGAATTTAACGTCGTGCCCGCGCACAGCATGTGAGCTCCTCACGGACCAGTTAGTCCAGTCCAAATAAACTACCCGACATGTCAGCGCCTCATCAACATATATTCGATTACAGACTTTTTATCTATTCTCATTTGTAGATTGAACTGTGAAGACCCTTCCGCTCT